GGCAAAAAGAGTCAACCAAACATACGTTCTCCTATGTCTGAAGCTTCTTTGTTTCTGAACTTCCCCCTGCCACTGTCCTGAGTTTTCCCATTGAGAACAGGAAACGCTGGTCAATGACAGATTTTTAGTTTGTATCACTGTAGCTAAAAACCTTTCTTGCTCAGCACAAGCGTCTTACAGCATGTCAGAAAGTTTAGGAAAAAGCTCTGATCATGAAAACACTGTCTCAAAGTTCATTTAGGGGCGTTTTAAGCTTTTTTTAAGCATACATATGAATAAGTACTGCAAAATGGGTTGTTTATGTAAGTGTTTCAGAGCTAAGCATTAACCGAGTGAATGTTCAGTTTTGCCTACCCACACAAATAATTTTAGTGGAGGTTAATATTGCAATGTCATAACAGCACTGATATCACAGTATCAGACCAGGACATAATCTCGCAGAAAACAAAGTTTTATTTTATTGATGTTATATAATTTTTCTTGAACACTTTACCAGAATAAAACTAAATGAAGAGAGCAGCAAGGACCTCTTGTCTCTCAAATAAAAGGTAATTTCTCCAAGCAGTGTATAAGCATGACATTCCAAGACTTCAGTCTCAAAGTTCGTTAGGAAAATCAGCTCCAGTCACCTGACTTCATCAGAACACCCTAGAAGGCATTACAATAAACTTGCTGCCACATGTTTAACTATGCTCTTATTACAGAGCTATTCTAGGAGTGCTGCATAGGCCAGGGACTTATTTTTATAGTCTTTGAACAGGAACAGTATCCCTTCAGCAGCCTATCTAGCATGAACATTAAGTCATGCTGCAGAACACACCTATTTAAGAGCAGATTACAGACCTGACAAGAAGCTGGTTCTGATTACTGCACCTATTGAGAAGGTATCATTCCATATTAACCCCCAAAGCTCTACTTGTGCGACTAACTCATATTACAAATTGTAAATTATTAAACAAAACCTTAACAGCTGAGGTAGATAAAGCTTTTTCTTTTAGCGCCCTTCAGAGCAGTACTTGTGTTTCATAACTTCTCCGGATCATAGCCGCGGGGATTGCAACCGGGCTCCCACAGCAATGACAAGACTAAAAAACAAACGGCTTCTTAAAGTCACAGCACAGCCATCGATGAAACCAAATCCCACTTGAGAAATGATACAATTATTAGCTACAGAGAGGACGCCATAAGATAATCCAGCCAGTTATTCTTTCTAAAAGCCTTAACTAGCACGGTCGTTGTGATTTGGGTATTTCTGCTCCTGAATTGATTACATTAAAAGCTGAGCATTTTCTAGAAGTGAAACAAACGTTTAGCCTGCGGATTATGGCCGGTGTCCATCCCGCCGCTGCGATCGTGAGCCGAAGCCCATCGCGCAGGACGGAGCGGCGCGCGGAGCACCCGGAGGGAGCGGGGCCGAGGCCGGAGAACGGGCGAGGGAGCGCCATCGGCCCGGCCAGGCCAGCGCACACCGCCGATGGGCCAGGAACACCCGCTCCCGAGCCGTCATGGTGGTGCGGCGCCTCCGCCTCCAGCCCCACACGGCTGCGGGCGGCAGGGCCCGTCCTGCCCGGGGGGCGCCGCCCGGCCCTGCTGCGCTCGGACAGCCCGGGGCAGGCGGTGCTCTGAGGGGCGGCTGGGCCCGGTAGACGCTGCGGCCCGCGGGGCTCCCTGGGCTGAGGGAGGGAGAGGCCCGGCCGCGCCGATGGAGGCGAGAGAAGCCCCGTGGGGCTCCTTGTGCTCCTCGGCCCGGCCACCCACCTTCTGCTCCTCGGCCGAGGCGGGCTCGGGGCTCTCGGCAGACATGGCGCCGCGGCAGCGGGACGGCGGGGCCGGGAAGGAGGGAAGCAGGGAAGGAGGCGGGCGGGAGGCGCGGCCGCGGCTCCTCCGCGCTGCTGCTGCTGCTGCCGCCTCCTCCCGCACAAGATGGCGGCGGCGCGCGCGACGGAGCGTCGGCGGGACCAGACTTCCTCCGCCTCAGCCCCCGCGCGCGCGGGCTGGGGAGCGGGGGCGGGATCCGCCTGCGCCCCGCGCGTCACGTCCGAGGCCGCCGGTTCGAGGCTCGGGTTCGGCTCTCAGAGGCCGCACGGCCGCGGTGCCCCGCCCGTTAGAATCACACGATTACAGAAATATCAGGGTTGGGAGAGATGTTTAGTATGGTCCAGTCCACCGGCACAGGCATCACTGTATGCACTAAATCACATTACCCGGCGCTAGAGCCATACGTCTCTGGAACACCTCCAGGGATGGTGACTCGACCGCCTCCCTGGGCAGGCTGTTCCAATGGCTGAGCGGCCGAACAGTGAAAGTTCTGACAACTAATGGCAATCTCCCGTATCTCAGCTTAAGGCTATCTCCTCTGGTCCCCTCCCTGGCCCCCGCCTCACCTCACCACAGCCTCCTAATCCCGGCTCGTCCAGCCTGCAGGAGCAAGGGAAAAAAAATCCTTCCCCTCTTGGCTAAAGTGACTTCTTTTGGCCACTTTCAGTGAACAAAATATAAAGAGTTGAGTCCTCAGCAGCATACTCGAGGATCTCATGAATCCTAGAGAGCAGCTGACAGGATAAGAAGGCTCAGGCCATTGGAACTTCTTAACAGCACACTATCAAGTTATACAGAGTATTTTATTCTCTCCCCATCCACTTTTCACTGTCTGGTTCTCATCTGAAAAAGAACCTTCTGTAGAGTCTCTTCAAGAGCATAAAGGAGGTGTTTAAATAGCCCACCATTAATAAATCCTTGAGGGCTTCTAAATAAATGGATTATGGGAACAGCAAGGTGTGGATTGTACTGAGCACAGCTCAGGAGGGACTGGCCAGGACAAGCTTTGTGTGATTATGGTCGGGAAGAACATAAGAGGGAGGTCAGAAAGGTCTGTGAAAGCTGAAGCTGTCGATTTTGCTACAGCTGAATTGTACTAAATACCAGTAGTTGGAAAAGTTTTTTTCTGCACCTAAGGGATTCATCCAGAGACCAGGATCACGTAGCTGTGGGGAACCCAAGGAATGTGCATATCCCTCATTCAGAAAGGGAGACAGCCTGGCAGATTGACAGAAAAATAATCATAGATACTGGGTTTTTCCCCAATGATGAAAAAAGCCATACTGGTGGGTGTGCCACATTTGTTTCCAGCAAAATCAGGGAGACATGGTCTGAAAGTGTGAAACCAGAGCAACATAGAAAAATGACCATAAAAAGGATGAAGTTTTAAAAAGGAAGAAGAAGAACAAAGCAGTGACAGCAGACAAGAATGCAAACTTCAGGAATTTCTTTCAAATATCTCAGGAAAATAATGTGAGGGGAAATAGTTTCAAAGATTCAGCAGTTCTTTAATACAGTTATTTCTTTAAGGGAACATAATGCAGAGGAAAGATGGAAAATAAATGCAGAACCTCAGGAAAAGCACAGGTTCTTCAATGGCCTCAAATAGAAGAAAGCAGCCTACAGAAACTAGGTCAGTTTTTAAGGATGTGTATCTAAAGCAGATCATGAAGACAAGGGGGTACTGAAATATTACTGAACAGAACTTTTAAAGACTAAAGCATTTAATGTTTCTTTTTGTTCAATCGGGCATGAAAAAGGTAAAGAGTATAACAAAGTATAGCCTCTACCCGGAATAAGGAAAGACTGGTTTACAGGTTACTTTAATTAGTTTCGGTAAATATTTTCAACTAGGATGAAAAAATATCCTTAAGAGATTAGAGAATGATAGAAGCAATCTCCACTTAATTACTGGTGATTCATATAGGAACCTGTAAAAAATGAATGGGTTTCCAGGAGTCACTTTTCCTGAATTTGAATAGGAGTATGGGGAGGACAGAATGCAAGCTATGTAATTAGGCCGTCAATAATGATTTGAAAAATCAGCTAAAAGAAGCACTCAAAAGAAACTGAGTAGCTAGGCAGGAATTCACAGTTAAGAACAAGGTTTTCACACAATCATCTTTCCTTTAAGAAAAAGGAAATAGACCATGTGGAGAAGTGGGTGAAGGTGGCTGAAGTTCCAGATGCCTTCTGGCATTAATAAAGCTTCTGACACTTTCCCATGCAAATTAGGGAAACTTAATTAGATGAAACTTTAATGTGGTGGATGCAAGTTTGTTGGAAACAGCTATCAATTCTTCAAACAGCAATGCTATGTTCAGCATAGAAAATCTTAAGTAATGAGAGAACAAAGTTCAGTAAGGATTTTGGGAAGAAGCAGGTAGGATGTCTCTTATACTGGGTAACAAGATGAATGCGAGTTGCCATCTCCTGAGACTGAAAAAACAGCGTATTACAACAGGATGCATGAAGAGGACTTTGATCCATACGATTTATCAACCAATTCTTCCAGTCTGATTGGCACAGAGAGGCCCTGACTAGGATGCTCTGTCCAGCCTCACACACTTCAAGACTGATTCAGTCCAAAAGAAGAAAGCAAAGAGCCAGAATGACAAGAGGTGCAAAAAATAAAGGGTGACTGAACAGTCTGCAGTTGTCTTAGTTATGAAAAAAAAGACTGAGAAGGGAGATAAAATAACTAAATTACTTGCTTATAATGAAAAGGGTAAGTAGTATTTAACTCAACTTCAGCAACATTTAGTTGGATGTTATGAATTCTTATATAACTAAACATACATAGTGTAACTAAATGTTATATTTTCTCATGATAAGTATAACTTATCACTGAAAGAGATTAGTTGTAGCAGCCATCACAATGGAGCCCTTATAAACCACTCAAACATTTATTACAAATAACTGTATATGGTTGAGCCTATTAAGTAGTAAAGAGAAGAAACCAATGACCTCTCATAAAATAAGTCCAGTCTCAACCTAAGCTCAGAAGGTCATATGGAATTTAGCTCAGTTTATGAGCATCCAGCATTTTTCCAGGTGTGTCCCTAATGGAAAGTGTTTACTCAGATCAAGCTGTAAATGGAGAATGACTCAGTAAAATCAAAGTTGTGCACAGATAATCCAAGGTCACTTTCATTCCAAATCCATAAAGGAACTAAGTGTAATTTGACTATTAAAGTGAATACAAATTTATTTCCCAGATGTGACTTGCAGTAACCACATACTCAAAATCCACACTTCTTTGCTATTCAAAGCAAATTAATGAAGGGAGATGACTTGAAGTCTATTTAAATAAAGTTATCAAGATACAAACATTGCATAATGTCAGTGCAAAATAAAAAGTTAGTCTATGACAGGGGAATGCTGACTTTTCATTAAAAATGTGTCCTTTCCTCATGCTTTTTTTCATTGCACATGCAAGCAAGCTGTGCACCATGACACAAATAAGTAGTTTGAGGATACATGCTGTTTGCTTATGACTCAACAGCAGCTACACAGAAAGTAGGACACCCTCTGGATATCCTAGTCCAGACCATAGTTCTGTACACAGTACACTACAGTGGTGTTTGACTCTTCTGCTACCAAAAGAAACCTTTTCTTGGTTTTAAGAGGCGCACAAATGACTAGAAAATGCAAACAATCTCTTCCTGTTTTCCCCAATTCTCTCTAAAATGAATGCTAGGTAACCTTTGAAAATCTGGTATAACAGAGTAGAAAACACTGCTGAAGTGGGGAAGGGACTCAGAAATATTTGAGCTTTGCCCTTCTGGAGCAGCATGTACAAGATAGTTGATAAGTGTCGTCTGGAAAGTCCAGTCTCCCTTACGTTCCCTGGCAGACTTCCTGGAGATTTCATGATACACTGACTTCTCTCATCTAAGGGCAATGCTGAATATACAAGATGCACATTCATCCTTTCTCCAGTCTTCATCAGATAAGCATGTTAAAGGACACCTTGCATATTACTGACACTCTAAAAACCTACAGCAAAGTAAAGAAAAACACAAATCAAAGTAAGACAGTTGAGAAACACAGATCTTCATCAAATGTCATAAAGCTTCATTTCCATTATTAAATATATAGCTAAAATATAATCAAATGCTTCTAACTTTATTTCTCTCAGTTACACAGTTTAACACTTAGCATAAACTGTTCATCTGACTGTTTTGTTTAGGAATACACACATGAAAATAGTAATATGCCCAGTGTAGCATTGCTAGTAAAACTTCCTATGGCCACCTAGTGGCCTACATGGAATCGACCTATGAAAAATATTTAGGATTACATGAAGATCCTCTCATCTAAAAATAAAACAAAAAGTACAAGTTTCATAGCTTTTGCATATATTTGAGATATAAATACTAATTTGTTTGCACAGTACATCCTTTAACACCATTTGAGAAATAAAATGGGGGAGGGTGCAAATTTTATGTGAGGAAAACTAATAACAGGAAGCAAAATTAAAATGGCCCTTAAGGAGAGAAAAGAAATTGAGGGAGCAAAATGTGAATTGAGTTAATGATCTGAATGCATAAGTAAATAACAATCTGCAATGTGGTTGCAAGTGTTATTAAATCTGGATGTGAGAAAAAAAGGGAAAATGGTACCATTAAAGAGAAAAAACAGCTAAATGCTTGCATAGTATGAAATGTCATGGAAATTCACCTGTTGTCCCCATTTTCAATAACTTAAATGAATATCACTTAAAACAGCACACAGATTAAAGACATCTGTATATATTTCAGATTTCAATATTAATGCCAAAAATACATAGTATGATTTTACATAGGATTTATGCTACATTAGAACACTAAAGACAAACATCACTTGAGTATTAAATGAAACATTAAATATTAAATAACTGAAAAATAAAATAAAAAGTGTAAACACTAAACTAACTTGGGAATTTGCTATTGCAACACATCCAAAGAAGTGGTTTTAAACAGTACAAAAAGATTAGATTTAAGTATGTTTCCAGTCTACTTGGAATACACAAAGCTCATTCCAGAAACCTTTTAAAAACTGGTCCAGGATCACACAGAACCTTCTTCTTTCTCTTGAGCGCTATTTTTATTCCTTTACACACTTAACTTTATACTGTTGTCTCTACCAATCTTTGCTTGCAAGGAGTACTCAACAGTAAAATGAATACTTTAGTTTGCCATTGTTTGCTAGCATCTTGGTGAAAACTGAGGATTTGTTGGAGATTCAGTGTAAGATTTGAGTTCATATGCAGCGCCGCTATCAACTTCCATGGATTTCCGAGAGAATAGGAGCCTTACATCTCTGTGGAGGTAGATCTTTCCAGATTTAGAACTCTGGAACCTGAAAAGAGACAAATATCTGTATTACCTGAAACAAAATAATAATCTTTAAAATCATTAAATAAAATGCACTCTTAAAACATTAAGGCCAAAACGTAGTCGAACAAACAAAATTAGTCAGTTAAAATGCAAAGAGAAAGAATATCCTAACACCTTCATTCTGCTTTGTTTCTTTTGACATTTAAATGTTCTGTTCCTAATCACCAATGCAGTGCACAGCTTTGAAAGTGGCGTGGAATATTTGAAGTTCACACTGCCATTATGTACATCGAACATTAAAGTCCTCAGCAATCAGGAATGGCAAAAAATGTTCTTCAGTCAGCACTCCTGAAAATGTCCAAAGGATGGCCTAAGCACACACAAAAGGGAATTTTCAACTATGTACAACATGCATTTCAGTTCCAGCAATCACACGGACAGATTTCATTGCTCTCTTTATGAATGTAACATCAGTAATACTGCTTTATACCACACTCCAAATATAAGAACTTGTCTTGAGAAGCAGTAGGTACTGGGATCTCTGCAGGCAGGCAGAATTTTTTTTGCACAGACTAGGGAGCTTTTCAAAGAGTCTGCAGTTCACTGGCCCAATCACCAAAGCAAAGAGTGATCAATTCCTCAGCCCATTAATCTTTTATGCTGCAGCTAAACAGTCTAAAACAAATCTTCCAAACCTGCAGAAATGTGCCAGTTCCACTTTCCCTGGGCATTAGCAACTCTATATAGGGAGACAAGATCTGCATTTCAGAGTAGTGTGTTCCATGGTTTTCATGTGGCAGAACTCTGTAATTTCCTTCTCTCCACCAGGAAAGGCAGAAGAGCCTAAGGAGCATTTCTTACAGCAACTGATATGCCACAGCAAGGGAGAAATGCTATTGCTGCTGCAATAGAAACAGAAAAGCCATTGCTGTTGCCACAACAAGATGATACCATGGCAAATGCTGAGAGAGCAATGCATGCTGTGTTATCATGTATTACAATTTGCACAGATTTTTAATAGGCTTTTACGTATTGACCTCATTGAAACAAATGCAGTATGTCTAGAATAAACCTATTCACAATTTGACTGAGATTCTGAGAGGTAGGAGAAAGACAAGTACAGAAGATCCATCTAAGGCTTCATGGTCTGAGGAAGGCAGGTTGCAGAAATGGATTCTGTGGCTCTGTTCTGTTCAGACAAGTGATGCAGAATAGCCTGTAGTCATCCCCACAGTCAGACAAAGGAAAACTCTGTTCTCCTAGATACAGCTGTCAAGGACATTAAATGCAGCGAGGTCCAGCAGAATGCTCCTACTGGCTCCCACAGAGATCTCATCCATCACTATTTATTTGCTCAGTGCTGTCAGTGTGAAAGCCCTTTACCTGATAGGCAAAAGGGAGAAGACACTATCTTAAGAGAAGACTGTGGAAGAGAGCACAAGGAAGAGTGAAAGAGACAAAAAGGACAAAGCAAACACCACAAACAGTTAACTCAGACTCTAGCACATAACACATTCTAAAAGGAAAAATTTTAGTGAAACGTCTATTGCAGCAAAGTATGATTGAAATGAATTCCTATAGATCTAGTTATCAAAGCACCATCATAAAATAGATCTCAACTCCCTTTTACACACGGATCTTTCAAAAGAATTATTAACATGGTCTATTTTTAAACTTCTCAAGCTTGCTCTTTTCTATGAGTGATAATCCTGCAAAACTCCCTTTGCTCAGTAAATAGTGGTTCCCTGCAATATGACTTTTCTGAGCATGACATTTCAGAAAGATGGAAGAAGGATAAGTGTGAGACAGCAGCAAAGTTCAATGGATTCTTCTCATCTCTGCATCCATTACCTAATTTTTTTTCTTTTAGACAGGTCTACCCTAATAACTGGGATTTAGAAATGTTTTTTATACATGCAAATACATTGAAATAATTGAGACAAACATTGCCTACACCCTTGCAGGATGGTGATGGAGTGGCCAGCATGGGACTGACTCCAGGTCTGCAGCAGCTCCAAGAGTTTTGTGTAAAGAAATTTTAAAAACCCAACACAACAGGTCTCTGACAGTGTCCTAGGAACAAGTAACAACTGACAAATACAGGAACGCTTAAACACACAAATGTCAAAAAGTCTAGCAGAGGAACTTTACTGAAGAAATGACAAATACAAGCACAAAGTCCCTATATGTATTTTATAGGCCATCAAGATTCACAAAGAACAGAGTAATTTGCAGAAACAGAATAATCCTGAAAAGCAGGATAATCGTGAAAGCATATGCAGCAAGATGTGTTTTGTAAGTGACTATATAACACAATCCATAAAATCTGTAAGTAAAAGCATTAGGACAAGGATAAAAATTTCTAGATAAAAAATGCTGAGAGACCAGAAAGATCAAAAGCAGCTAGTAAGTCAGTAATAGCAGGTATCTTCAGCTTCCACCAATAAAGGTGTATATCACACTAGCACAGTATTTTAAAAAAGGTTTCTCAACACCTTGAGGAATCACTACTTTTAAGAACCAGTTTCAAGCTTACCCTCCACTGAGCCCTCAGTAACAACCCCTGTTTAGCTGTTAAGCAACAGCAACCATGCTCCATGTAATTCCTGGCATTGTGTCAGTAACTAAGGCTGTTGACCTAGCTTTAAAAACTTGAAAAATGCTGAGCTGAGGGCAGGTTAGCTGTTTAATTACTTTTTACAAGGGTGCCAGAACGTGACCTAGAAACCCACAGATGGTCATCATCTCCACAACGCCAGGCAGAAATGAGGCAGAGTTGAGCTCACAGCTCTTATGCACAAGTAGATTTAATTACAAGACAAGAAGTCATTGCTTCACATGCAACAAAAAAAATTATCCCCAAAGCATCTTCAAAAAACAAACTGCAGGTGCAACTCTTGGGGGTTTTTAATAACGAATAAAGCTCTGCTGTGTGTGCAGGCTCCATTTGGTATCTCAATCCTGTAGCTGCACGTACAAGTACAGTCTAATGGCATATTGAACAGAGCCTCAAACACACAGAACTGCATGCAGGAGCTGCTCACACAATAAATCTGACACTTTAAAGACTGTTGTAGAAAATCTGGCCGCCAATGTTAAGCTCCAGACCTATGCAAGCGTTTTTGCTGAATTACCACTTGAAAAGGAGCTTTCATAATGTGAGTGCTGACAACTGTGATTAAGGCCTCGCAAGCAGATGTGACCACAATGCAGCTCACTGGTGGTGACTTCATTTGTTTTTTAAACAAAATTTCAGTATGTAAGCCTAAGATGCTTGTGCTCAATAACTACTGCAACTAAAACTGAAAGGCTGTTCTAAGTCAACTTGAGTAACAAACAAAAATAAATCTGAATAGTTAAAACTTTTTAGGTTCGCATAACTTTTCAGTAAAGCAGACTTGAGGAAACTTTACTGCTTTTAAAAATGAAGCTTTAAAATCAACTTACATGAATTAATATACTACTAAGACTTTTTTAAGCCCTCCGAATTAAAATCCACCTTCAGTAAAGAAAGCTACTAGACAACTGAGCCTTTTGTAAAATCGCAAGTGCTCAGTATAATAAACCACAAGACAGATCAACATAAGCTACTTTAATATTTCAATGAGTTCTGCCACACTTACATTATGAGAAAGCACCCAAAGCTTGGGTTTTTCACTGTAGAAAAAACTTGTGGCATACTCTGTTACTCATTTTCCAAAGTAAGCAGCTAAACATCATAATTATGATTTCGGTTTTCCCATAAGAAATGAATGCATTTCCAATTACACATCATAAACCCATGAACTGATCCCTACCAGAGGTCTGAAAGCTGAGCTAAATTGTTCAGATATTTCAAAATGAGAAGCATCAGAACTGCAACATTTCTGTCTCTCAGCAGGTATCAGAATAGAAAGCTCTTAAAAAACTTCTAGTTGTAACATATCAGAGAGCAGAAAGCAGGTTTGCCTTCAAATAGAAGCAATTCTTGGGTCTGTCAACAAGAAATTTTCAAACTACCTTAAAGTGGAGACTGAAAGGGGACACAAGACCACTACTTCTCCTGCAGGTATGCCAGACCCAGCTGGCCACAGACTTTTAGCTACCACTGCAGCTGAGGCCTATCCCCAGGCCCTCTGCACAGTCAGATCAACATTACACATGAACAGAGCATTCTCTTGGGGCTTTTTCAGAATTTGCCTCAGAAGAAAAATTTTAGAAGGTGGTTAGGTTAGACCTTGCAAGTTAGTGTGGCCTGAAAGGCTGAATTTCAATCCAGGCTAAATTTCAGAATGAAAACACTGTTCAACAGCCTTCTCATGATACTATTTTCACACTCCAGTAAACTAACACACTTTTTTATGACTTTCAACCTTATTTAATGGGAGAATCTGTCTTAGAATCACTGTTCTAGACAAGGTTGAATTTCAAAAGTCTGTTGGATAGAAATCAATGCCATTACATTGGGAAAAATAATATGTACCAGAAATAATTGTACAACAGAGAAGCGTAAGATATTTTGTTCTGCTTGCTCACTTCAGAATGTCAGCTGCTGATAGGTTTCCAAATGCTGCAGTGAAAGCACTGGGTCTGTGTGTACAGGCATTTCTTACTACAAAAACACAAGCAAAAAGCAAGCAAACTGCAGGACAGAGCATATCCATCATTCCCCTTTGCTTCCAACTGCAGTCTCCAGAACACCCCAAGAGCAGCAGCAGTGTCTGGTTTCAGGCAGTGCTTTGTAAATCATTTAAGGAAGATTGAGTGAATATTTTATAAAGTGAAAGGCATAATCACCAATATTGCATCATGAAACAGGTATTTACATTTTTGCCACTAAACACTGTACTTTTAGGAATAGTTCAGACCATTTTTCATGTTACAAGCTATGCTGGTGAAGAGGCACATGTGAAGCACACCAGGGCACCTTCTTTTCAGTGATCCTTAGTTTTGGTTTTTGCCCATATCACATCCACTTTCACTGTTTCCTGTAACCTCAAAAAAAGTGCATTGATTCAGCCAGAACCATTTCTGTCTCACTAAGAAAAGATTTAAGCTTTACAATGGTATGCAAAAAACTTCAATGCCAAGAAAGAGCTTTATGTTATATTTTAACTTTGTTTCTCCCAAGAAGAACCCAAATTATTTATTAGCTCTTCTTCCTCTACTATCTAGCTTAAAGATCAAATTAGCATTCTTTAAATTTTTTTTTCATTCTTTCTTATTTCTCTATACAGAAAGGCTGGCTGGGAAGGAAATTATGAGTTAAATCTTGTCAGATACTTTTTTTTGTGGTTTTGGCTTGGGTTTGTTGGGTTTTTTGTTTTATTTTGATTTTTTAACTTCAAGGAGCTTACCTCAGATGTATGAGGTAGCGTAGTAGCCTTTCTTCAGTCTGGTGACTGTTTTCTTTATTGACAGATCGCTTGATTTCTCGTCTCACAGGAACAGAAAAAGTTCTTTGCCGTAGGAATGTTTGATGATTAGCTGGCATTTCTCTCAAGTCATAGATCACCACGAACATCTTCACCACAGTTTTGTTAGGGTTAAATAAGGTCTGAGAAGACAAACAGTTCAATACAATACTCTTTAGAGATGATAAATTTTTAAAAAGAAACCAACAAATCTAACCCAAACTCCATCTGCCAAAATAGCTCTTTATGCACTTTGTTTGTGTGCCATATAGAAACATTTATGTAAAGACACTGTGAAGCCTTTCTGGTTTGCAACACTTCAGCTACCAGCAATTCCCATTTTTAAATATAATGCTAAACACAATCTAATCTGAATGAAACACTAGTATATGACTACTCTTACTTTGCTAATCAGCATCCCCGTTTTTGTTTATTTTTCCAGTCAGCTTTTTGTCTACACTGTTTTGCAGCCACAATACACTCGCAGGAAGCACAGTGGTGGGCTCCGCTTTTAAACCTGAAATTATGAACGTGTTATCTTGGACTGGGTTCTTAAAAGAAAGAGTCAGTTCATTGGTTCTAAGCAACGACTGTGATTTACTTTGTGATTCTATTACAAAAGTAAAAGCGGTGTTAAAATATTACAAAAAGGTAGATACAATTATTCAATCCTAATAACTTTAGAAGAATTAGAGGATTTGAACTGTGGCCGAATTGCTTCCCCATCATTTTCTCAAAGCCACAGTGTCCCCAAGTATTCTGAATCTCCTGATTTTAAGACTCCTCAAAGCACAGAAGTGTTCAAAGATTAGGAATCTTTTTCGTCCCACACACAGATTTCTACTTTGAATTTCTACAGTACCTACAGAAATGCACATTTCCACTGCTAGCTTCATGCTCATCTCCAATAACCTCATCTCTGCATGACTTTCTTGGTGCTAGTGGTTTCAAGGCACCCTTATCTGCTGAGTACGTACCACTTGTATTGTTCCTGAAGGCGGTACCCGATAACCCCTTTTACCAAGGGACTCTAAAGTAATTACACCCTACAAAAACAAAACACATATTTAGGTCACAGAGATAAACAAATCAAAATGTTCTAGTCATGTAATTGCACTTATTTGAAACATAATCAGTAATTTATATAAGCTAAAAATAGAGAAGGCAATGCATTTAAGATGCAGTTAAAAAATCAACAGTAGGGGCCTTAAAGATACTTTGGCAGAACATTAAAAGCTGTGCAATAAGCAGTACATTCTCCTCCTGAAACAAGATTCAAGTTTCCACATCTTCTCCACATCAGGGAGCTAGGACAAAACAGAGCTTTCTTTTCAAAGCAGCTGGGAGGTTAAAATGAAACATTTGTCTTCTCCTTTCCATTTCTGTATCATCTACAATTGCACCAATAGTACTCCAAATCTCACCGAACCCATTTTTGCTTTTCAAAGGCAGCAGATGCACTTAATCTTCCATTCTAATCCAAACTTGAGGAAGGATGACATCTGCTTTTGTACCAGCTGGGATCTATGAGCAGCCCTGAGTGCCCCACAGGGCGCTGTGACGCTGCCAAGGCCACGCTCGGGGCACTGCCACACGTCTGGTCACCCTGCAGGACATCAGTGCTGCACCCCTCTGCACTGGGCTTTAAAAACCCAAACCAAACAAACAACCAGAAAACCCCAAAGCAGAAAAACTAGCTATACAAACAGAAACAATGCTTCTGATGATGGAGGCACTACACAAATGCTGTATTAATCCTGGGAGACTCAGCCATAACAGCATATTTGGAATTAGCATGTGGAAAAGCCTGAAACAATGAAACCCAGCTAGGAAAATAAGCAATGCTACTTTAACCATTTGAAGAACATGAGAATCCCTTTGCTTCCTAGAAAAATCACACGAAATAATCTAGAAAGATGAAAGCAAAAGGATACTTTTTGAAGAGGTTAAGACATATACAAGTTTAAACTCAAAGCCATTAAGTAAATTCGAAGCAATTTCATTTTCTGAATACTTTCCAAAACAGATGGTCAGAAATGGTAACTGCTATGAATTTAAAATCTAAATATTGGGATACTCAGATTCATTACTTGACTTACATGGTTAAACAAACCATTTACTGTATATTAGACAGATGTACACATATGAAAATCTCTAAAAATTGTATTTGTCACCTATGTAAAATTAAGGTTCCTTAACAGGTATTCAGGACAAATCCAGCCTCCAATTCAATGCCAGCATACAAGACACCATTTTCTTTTTACAGAGGAGCACTTTTAGATATGCAAAACCCATGGTGTCACTGTAGAAAGGTGGAACAGAACTAGCACCCAGAGAACACAAACACTGCATGGCTGCAAACAATGCAGCCCGTGAGAATGCCGAGTGTCACAACAGCCCTGACAGTATCTGCTTTAAAAGAAAGGGCTGAATAACTCCCAAGTCTAAGGTCTCCATCAGCAATTGCCCCTTGGCCTACACCTAAGCCACTCTGCAGAGTGGTTAGTTGCCCAGGGCAGCTGCTTGTTGGGACAACAAAATATATCCTGTTAAGTCCAGCTATTGCCTCACTGCTATTTTAAGTTAGATGGATAAAACAAGATGCTGGGAGTTGATCACTGCAGTGTGGGGGGAGACAAATACATTCAATATCCCAAGATGAGAACAGGTGAATGGTGGGGCAGAGAAATAGAAGGAAAAGCACTAGTTAGGGAAAGGAAGAGGGACAGCAGAACTCTGTCATAGGCAGTTGAAAATAAGCCAGATCCCTGCAAATCTTTACTTTCTGAACCTTCTACTCACCAAGCTCTTGCTCTTCACCTCCACATATCAGAATTTATTTAAAACAAATCCAACCACACATTTACCATGTAAGGAGAGGGCGCATTGTCATCTGAAACGCTGTAGAATGACACTTCAACTGGCAGAGTCATGTGCGTGGGACAAAAGACTCCACTTGCTCCCACCTCTGCTGTGAAACCCTCCACGACACCCAGCGGGTCCAAGCGGAAATTCAGGACAGATTCCTGAAAAACAAAGCACAGACAGCTTAGGTTGGGAACACCTCAAATAAAACAGACCATAACTAATCAGCAAACAAGTGCAAAGGCCCACGGAGAACTTGCTTGCAGCAGGATCTATGCTTGATTTTCAACATATACTATCTGAAAAAAAATTCATCTAGATTCTGTAACCTTCCCCAGGAAATTCAACTCCATATTTCACAAGACAGTACAATACAACCCATTAATGCATTGGCTATTAGTTTCAGTAATTGGATATGCTACATGAAGTGAAAAGCTGGAGCCTACATTTCAAACATGTTCTGTCTAACACACTGATTTAATCCAGCTTTTGTGACATACTAAGTAGACTTTAAGAGTGAAAATGTAAATCCTTTTTTCTAGGTAAGTACATTATAAACACGAACAATTACAGGTTATTAAATCTCATTTATGGCAACAGAACATCTTCTAACTTGACCGTAGTGGGAAACAAAAGCTTAAGCAACTCATTGTATTTGATTCTCTGAGACAGAAGATGTCTGGGGCACGAATTAAGTGCCTTTACAGCTGGAAATGAAAACAAATTTTATTCAATTCAGTTAGGAACTTTTACATTCTAATAATGCTGGAATTATTCACAGTAAGATACTTTTAAAAGCAGTACAGAAGAGTATTAAAAATACCACAAGAATTCTAGAGAATATGCAATACCTCAAAGTTTCCCAGAAGGCTTAGACTTGTTACTGGTGGAGCACTAGAACTTAGAAATGGTTTCCCATGGCTGTCTGGATCACCGTCTCTGTTTATACATTGTTGTGGGCTATTAAAAAAAGATGGAATAAATATAAAGGATAAACACATTTGCTTTTGTCTTCTGGGTATAAACAGCTCTAGAAAGAATAATTTACTTACTGTACTACAAAATGTTGTCCTAAAGAAGTAACATTTGAACATTGCCTATTAATACTTTAGTAGAATGTTTTCTCATTAACTGAAAAAATATTTTCACTGGCTTTACATTACAAGGGATAAAGACAATAAAAATTTGTTCTTTAGCTCCATTAGCAAGAATCAAAAAATCAGATTCTTTTCTCTTGTATGTGGGTGCTTTTGTGTCATATTCTGTAATATAGCTCATATTTCCAACATCAAACCACCATACCAAAAGCTGTTTCTGTTACATGTATTAATGTATAAAAGGTCATGATTGGCCCTTTTAAAAAGTCTGGTTCTCTGAACAAGTTAAGACAAGATGCTCAACATGCTCAACATTAAGAACAAAATACAACACAAAAATAACATTGGTTTGAAGGATAATCAACAATTACTAGCTCTTCTGTCTGCAAACTCAAGTGTATCTCACAGCATATCTGCCCCTGAATGGGACAGAATTTATTTTGCCAGCAGCTCACATTCCATGGTTATGTCCAAAGCTGTGCTAACCTGGAAACTCCCAGGGCAACTCAGCTGCTGAGCCTTCTATCAAAATAAGGATTCTTTTGAAAGCATTTTTGTCTTTGCTAACATGCTTTGATTTTGTGTATAAATATATATATACATTATGCCTCCCTCAAAAATCTCAATGTTTCTGGTAAATAAAACATACCTTCTTGCAGACAGACATTTCAACAATGATGAATCCAGATCAAAGCACCCAGACTGTGTTTTCCTTTGAGGAACCTCCACAAGGAAAGAAGATGCTAATTTGAAAACTGAACTGCTACCACAGACAATTTTGCCAAGTAAGCACATTTTGCCAAGAATTTTCATGACATTACAAAATTATAAAAACAGAGCAGAGAATGTAATTCCCATACATTTTAAACTTAGTGAAGAAAGTTCTAGGATTATTAATGATGAGACTGTAAACTCTGGTTAACAGGAAGTATTTCAATAAAGACATTCAGGAAGCTGATGTCTCTTTGGAACAGGACAGAATATTACTAATAAACAGGCTGTAACAATTTCCATCCAATTTCCCTGAAAATATGACAGTCTGTACAGGCAGTGAAGAATAAAGCATATCATGTGTTGATTACAGGACATCACTACTTTAGTAGTTTTAATAGGAACTGCCTGTTTTTTTTAAACTCCAAACAATCTACCAAGAACTGTAACACTTCCCCTGTGTCTGCCTTATCACACACAGCAGCTTTGTTTCACTAAGTCATTCCATGACACCTCTGGTTACTAAAGAATGTACAGTACAAACTGTTCACAGAAGAAAAAGGCCTTGGAATAATGAGCAATCAGGTATTAAAAACTAACACAAAACCTCCTAAATTACAAAAATGTTAACTTATGCTTAAAACACCAATCTTCAAAAAGGCTTTCTTTTGTGCTCTAAAATAGCACCAAAGCATTGTTTCCATCAATTTTTCTAATGTCACCTTTTGTTAATCTTGATATGATCTCAACAACTATGTCTTTAATATTTTCTTTTCCAAAATTATTGTTCAGCCTAATTTACATATTAACTGTCATTTAAGCATTAATTTCCACTACAAGAGTATTCACTGTGACACAAAGTAAACACATATACTTCACCAAGGTATTTTGTCAAATTTTATACCATGCACAGACATTAGAAGAACAAATAGTCCCTTTCTCAGCTTAAAAGAATTTTGAGAATAACTTACAGGACTTGAAAGCAGAGGCAGTCCAGTTCTGGGATGAAAAGCCTTGGTTGAAGTTCCATCCAGGGATCGAAAACTGTGTTTCCGCCATGTATTTGTGTGTTTTAGAGATGGTGCTTTCTGCCAGCAAAACAAACTTACTCAGGTTATCAGTGGGATACTTCAGTCACTTATCATGAAAATACTCACTTGTTGTAAGGGAGAAAACTCCTGACCCAGGTGGATCTACATCACACTAGCAGAGCATGAAACATTCAGTATAAATTTCCCTTGACTCAATCTACAGCTGCACAGACTGCTCCCAAAAGATCACATTCCGTACTCAGATGGGTGCATGTCTACAATGCAGGAAGCCTCACTGCCCATAGAAACAGCCATTCATAACTCTGTCACCATGAGGGGAACAGGACAGTGCTCTTCTCCATGCTAAACTGATCAACTTTAGGAGAGGCATCACTGGCCAAGTTACCCCATCACAGAAAATCATTTGATAGGTCAGCTTGTCAGCTAGACCTTAGCACTAAGTTGTTTCTTGAACAGCACCTGGGCAGTGGAGTCCATTCTCATGCTTAACCCTTTCCATGAATAAATCTTTCCTGAGTTACTTCAGGCCAAGATTACAAGGGTAATACACTGCTACCTACAAGGTCAGGCTGAAAGGTTCTCTTCATGCTGGGCCTTAGCAGATAGATGGTACAAAGGGAGCTATAGGAATTATTGTTTGTTCCCATATGTATTTACCTGTACATCTGGGTTCCTCTGCCGCTCACACTTAGCTGCATTGTCTTCTGCAGGTTTCTTCTGAGAAGTGCTTTGAAAATCGAGGACCGTTGGGTCTTCATTCTCATCATGTGCAGTTTTAGTTTTATCTTGTTTGGTTTTGCTTTTGAAACTGTCATGGTCTTTATTTAAATAATTTTCAATACTAACAAGCTGAGTATTTTGCTCATAAATATTTGGTTTTTTGGAGTCTCTGTCTAAACACTTGAGCTCATTTTTGTGCAAAGAGTCAGATACCGGCACCACAGTTGCTTTTTTTGTACCTTCAAGTATTCTGCATTTTTCCATCTGCAAATTATTAAAACTGTCTGTGCCATTGTTCTCACTAACAACTGTTCTTTCTTTAAGTTTATTTGTGCAAATCTGTTCATCAGTGCTGCTTGAATTTGAACCCTGTTTAAATCTATTGGTTATCTGGTCTTTCTGTGCAGAACCAGAATGAATTTCCAATTTTTCTGGAACTTCAGATTTATTTTCTCTAATACATGACGATGATGTGTGAATGCTACTAAACGCATGAGAAGTTTTATTTGAAGGCTGGTGAAATGCATTTTGGACAGTTTCACTGGGTTTTACTAAAACCAATTTTCTTCTTGCTTGGACTTTCAGAGAAGTCTTCAATTCTCCATCAAACCTAGAAGGACTGATAGGAGTATCAGGTGTCTTTGTCCCTGATTTACTGCTGTCTGTTAACAAAGAAAAATTTGATTTAGCAAAAGGTTCCTTGCCTTTCTTCAGCAAATTTTCATCTTCGTATGTACTCTGGAAAATTTTTGACGTGACTGGACTAGCCTCATGCACTTTGAATGGACGTCCAGCAACATGGGAAGTAGCTGGATCACAATGAATCAAGTGTTGGGCAATCCTTGCTATCACCTCCTGCCGCTCCTGGAGCAGGGAATCAATCAGGGGGTTGCTCTCTCCTGCCGACTGACGGCCACAGTGGTTCCCTGGAACACGGGCATTGAGGAGGGTGACCTCTGGCACTGCCCTAGTTTTGCCTTCACCACCATCTTCCTGTACTGCATTGTCTAAGTTGGCAGCAGGAACGGGGGAGCTTTCCTTGCTTTTCCTTGGCAAGTTCTCCTCTTCAAAAGTACTCCGAAAAGCTTTTGGTGTAGCCGAGATGTTTTCATGTGTGGTGAATGGACGCCCAGCAACAACTGGTGAAGTAGCTGGATCACAGTGAATCAAGTGCTGAGCAATCCTTGCAATGACTTCTTGTCGCTCCTGAAGTAAAGAGCCTATCAAAGGATTGGTTTCCCCTGTGGGCTGATGAGAGCAATGACTGTTTGAAACACGGGAATCTACTAGAGAATAGGATTTAAAAGTTCTGACTGGCGTTTCATGAGATTGTGTCTTGTTGTCTGCTGCGGCATTATAGCACTGAACTTTAGACTGCGATGCCCCCAAGTCAGATCCACGTCCGGTAGATGGATAAAGTTTTAAATTTCTAAAAGTTGTAGTAAATTCAGGCATCTTTTTTCCATTAAGTAGACCTTCAGGTGTCATTGTCCATGTCTGTTTCCCACGAAAACGCTGTGGGCTGGGAGCACTGCATTGCTGAGCAGCACTGGGATCACTGTGCTGATGGAACTTACGCTCTTGCATTTGCTTTTCATAAAAGCTAAGGTTGGTGTGAATACTACAGGTCAGAACTGGATAGTTGGATTGCCTGGGCAAGGACTGGACGCTGACCCTCAAGGCCACATTGTGAGAAACATTAGGAACAGGAAAGACATGCTCAGTGGGTGTCTGGGAGAACGTCCATTGCAAGTCCACATCTGCAGCGCTCACCCTGAAACAACACCGAAGGGCATTTACAAAAATAGCTAAATGAAAAGTTTTTAATTATCTTCTTCGTGACAAACATCTAAGAAAAAGCACTAGAAACATCAGCAGCTGCTGTACTTAGTGCACAAATCCCATAGAACTGCCAAAGTACTGGGCCAACAATATGGCACCTTCTAAAAGCAAGCAGAAAGCCAGGAGAGAAGAATGATTTTAAGACAAGCTGCAGCAATCTGCAAACAGCAAACGAGTTTTTTTTCCATTCCAGGCATACCTGTACAGGATGTTTCGGGGAACAGCACCATGTGAGACACTCAGCCACGCACTCAGCTGAGAGAAGAAAACAAAGGAGCGAACAGCCAATAACAGGGTCTTCTCTTCAATAAATCGATCTCCACTCCTAAGGCATTTAAAGACAAACACATGAGTGTGGGTAAGAATATTCAGAGACCTATTAAAACTAGAACATTGTCAGATCTTCAGTCTGAAAATAAAATATAGCTTAATCAAGCACAGCAAAAACTCCTCAAACATTTTAAAGATTCCAGAGCCTGATTTGCTTTTATACACATTAAAACTGACTAAATCTGACATAACAAATGTTATATGTATTAAAAGGACCATTTGCAGCCAGGATCATTTCATACTCTGGTGCACAATGTGCACTGCAGAAATTTTGAGTATGAGACAATTAAAATTGAAATGCTTTGATTTCACTAGCAAACAGTGGTTTTCTTAGATCAATCCTCATGGCAAAGAGCCAGGTCAAAAACACTAACTGATTACTTTAAGGACTTTAATATGACAAGATTCTTGCAATTATCAACTAATCCTCATATCCAACTTACTGTCGAGGAACTGGCTCCAAAATCCACCTTTCTAACAGCAATGCATCTTGTTTGATGGCAGGATCATTTAAATCATTCCCCTCTGTGGTGGGCCCTTCATCACTATAGCAACAGTCTGGAAGTAGCATCACTTCTACCATGATTGGAATATTGTTCTTCCACAGAAGCATCACCTCAGATCTGGTTCGCCTGGCCTGACGACACTGAGGGAAAGAAAAATGTCAACATACACAAGCCATAAAAATACTAGCCAGATTTAAATCTCATTTAAAAGCACATTCCAAAGTACTAGAGAAGAGCAAGGAGCAAATTCTGTTGGGTTTCACCATTCAGAAATAAGATTCCAGAGCCATAAAATGAAAAAATATTTAACACATTCTTTACAATTACCGTTTGAACAACTTGCTTTAGGAAATTTAAAAAGCTTGTAAAAATGCATTTCCCCAACCACTGCACTTTGCTACCTTGTAGTTATCTCTCCACAAGGCACCCTCTTGAGTAGACAGACTCAATCAGTATCTTTATAAATTCTGTGTCTTGGAGCAGCCTAACTTCTGCACAAATATAATTTAAATTCTCATGGTACTGAAGAACTTTTACTTAACAGATGGGATCCTTCAACCTTACTCCCAAATAGACTGGCTAGATTTTATGTGCTTGCGTTTTTTGGATCACTAACTTTTCAAGAACACCTGGAAAAGCAAAACGTTAGGCAAGTCAGCCTACATTTTCTCAAAAGAAACCCCATACCAAGAATACTAAGTTTAGTACTTGTCATTTGCATAATAAAGATTCAAACAGGCACTGCATTCAGGTAGTTGTGCAGAACTTCATGTTCAAGGATAAAAGGCTTAATGATCTCTCATTTTAAGGACAGATCTATTATTAGAAGGATACTGAATTACACACTCATTTAAATGAAGAACTGACAGAAAACCATTGCTACTTGTGCTTAACTGTGAATCCACTGTGGGGTTCTTGGCTGACTTTAACCACGGTAGCAAGGATTTGTGACATGAAATGGGTACCACCACCATACCTGAGCCAGTTTGTCGCTGCATTCATGCTTAGTTGTTGGGGGCTGACTTGACTGTGCTGGGGGGCAGTGAAAGCCCTCTGTCCTGCCCTTGATCGAGTACTCTGGTGTCCGGCCCTCAGTGATCAGCAAGGCCAAGGAGACCAGGAACTCCTCAGCTTCATACTCAAAGTATTCATCCAAAGTATCTGTCATTGCAAAAAGACAAAAATTAATGACATTTGCTGTATAACAACTGTTGGCTGACCCTGCAGTTTGTTTCAATTACACTTGAAATGAGAATGGGCTATGGGAAATGCCTCTTTGTATAAGACTGGCTGCACTCCCCATAAAAACCACCACTCCCCATTCCAGCACCACAAAACAACTTTCCTCATCTCAGTGTTGTCACTACAAACAAAGAACTTTGTTTTTCAATAGCTTTTCTAGAAGACCAAAGGTTTTCTGGGCTCTTGTGGGAAAAGTCTGATGACAGTATGACTTGGCATAGTTATTATCATCTGACAGATGGAATAAGAAGCCACAATATATCATAAAATAGATTAAAATTTGAAGAAGAAATATTTACTTCTATTATGGAAAAAGTGGGACACAATGTTCTTTAATATTTTTATTGCAAGTCCCTCCTGCTGAGAGCAAGGCTTACTTCAGAGGTCCATTTTTAGTTACCATTAACACATAGGAAATGTTCTGAAGAAACATACAGAGTATTCATTGTTTTGTACCATGATCAGTCTGAACTTGTGCAAAGAATGAAAACTCAACAAGTCTCTGTAGACAAAGCAGCAGCTGCCATTGCTCTTCATGAAGAGCCCTGGCACACTCAGTTCCTGCAGTTAAGATGCACCATTTTATGGTGTTTTATAGAGCACCCTTCTCCTCCTCCTCCCTCATCACGAGGATGTCACCCATCATTCAAACAGATTTAAGTACAACCAGATCATGTCGTTCCCCTCTCAGCTTCAAAACATTTCAAGTTTCAAAATTATTTAATTACTGAAGAGGTTACAGAAAACTCTCTTTTCCATGAAAGCAAAAATACATTCCCTTCAAAGTCTATTTTAAGAGCAGCAAAGAAAAGCGAGTGGAGGCAGGGCTGCCAGCAGTTCTCTACCTTTATTTTGATGCTTTAGGGGAACAAAAACACATAACATCTTCACAATTTTAGCTTAAATGTCCTATGTCATCCACCAAAACTGCCACAGGGAGAGAGTTAATTTCTATTCATGTTTCAATTATCATGCATAAAATACCTTTCAGAAGTCTTTTTTGTCTTGGTCCCCTAATAGCAGAGAATTTGGCAAACATTGCAAAGCATACTTCAGAGATGGATACAAGAATGGATGCATGAAACAAAAGCTCCAATTAAACGTGCAATTATCTGCATATGCAAATTATAAAGTGTGTAAAACTAGCTTTTGCATGTACATATTTGTCTAGCCCAGGCTTGTAGACCACAGACCCCAGGGCTTACAGCCTATTTGAAGGGATTTACACAAGGTAAGTAAGAAGTCAGTCCACTGCTGAAGAAGAGCCAGGACAGATTAATTACCCTGGAGGACCCTATATGGCATGTGAACAATACATTAATTCATCTGGGATAAGTTAAAATGGTCATTCACCTGATGGATGGCAAAAGATATCTAATAAACGGTGCATGAAAGATGAAAGGAGTGGTAAATAACAGAGAAGACAATACTCTTAGGTAGTGATATGAGTCACCTAAAAAATTAGGCACCTGCACTTTTTTTTTCAGCTGGAAGTCTGGTGAACAATAGGCAAGTCATACTTAGGAATGGGAAAATGGAATTTGGGAAGACCCTGAAAAGGATTTGGATATACAGCGGCCAAAAAAAAAAATTAATTACAGCATTATCTTGCTGCTAAGCATCTTTATATGTCCAAAGGCAGTGATAATTTCAAGAAAGTCACAGCAGGAGGATCACTACTGGAGCATTTTGCCTACTCTAACATAGAAGTTCAAAAATCTAGAAAACGTTCAACAGGAGTGAAATTAATTTAAACAAGCATTGTCTCATTCTTAGCAGATTAAACAAAACTAATTCACCCATACAAAAACTGCAAGAAGAATTGTTTTTAGTTAAAATACATAAAACCATGTATGATTTTTAAGAAAAACTGTAAAGTGTGTGATCAAGATCCACATATGCACAGTAAAATGTGATACCTGAAAATTTACACTGAAGAATTTTAAGGGGCAAGTAAAACAGACATGCCCTTCAATTATCATTAGCAGCTTGCCAGATGAAGTAGTAGACTTTGTATTATATAGTTCTCTTTTTAAGAAGATAACCCATATGTTATCAAAATCTTTTGGACTTGACACAAATTAATGGACAAATCCTATGGCCAGAGTGCTTCTGCTGAGCAGTTAGATTTAGGCAAAAAAACCCACTCCTTTTTTGTATTAAAAAGTATCTGATACCAAAGCTTATATTGCATACCTGAAGTACTCAGTGCCTTCACAGACATATGACAGGTCACAAGACATAGACAAGTTTAAGATATTCAGGTGAAAGATAGAGTGAATAGCAAATGAGCAAGATCTAGTGAATAAAGCCAGGTACATATTCTGAAATAAACATCACTCAAGAATCAGATTACATACACAATATTGCTTTATGTAAATAGACAAATCTCACTTCCAAGCTCAGTTTACAAATTGGGCCTCTGTTCCTGTATCAGACCTATTATTTCAGAAGCAACCAGTTTCTTGCCTCAAGAATGGAAGAGAAGACCCAACTAGCTAAAGAGACATATTTATATAGTTATATTGGCTGCAGTTACAAAAACACCACGTTGTTTCAAAATAAAACCGGCAACACTAAAAAGCCCGTGTTGAATTAGGAAATGCTGCAGCATTTTAAAGACAGGGCCAGCACTTTATGTCAGCAATGTAACCAACCAGTTATTTGATCTGGACTTAAAAAAAAATAAATTAAAGCAAAACCAGCAAGAGATATCAAGAAATATCAAGAATTTTTCCTATGAAGTTCACGTGGCATAATATCCTTTTTTAGCTCCACTAGATTTATAGACCATTTAGCAACTTCTAAGAGTTTTCATAAAGAAAAAACCCTATAACCATTGAGAAGTCCAGTAATTGTCCCTATACAACAGACAAAAATTATGCAAGTTGATGCAATTGAGGGCAAGGTGGAATGACATTTATAGAAACAGCAAACTCAGTACTTAGTTTAAAAAAGTCTTACTCTCTCTGTGCTGTAACTGTTTGGTTTTGTGTATAAATCAGCCCTAGGACACATCATATATTGTGTACAGAATAACATCAATCCTATAATCTGATTATACAACTATAATTATTGGTCTGCTTCATCTCTAGCAATGCAGCATGCAAGTATATAGGATAAAATATGCATCTCTGCACTGTCTGGGATTTATTCTCCTTAAAATAGCAAAAAATCCAGTTAGTTGACTCAAGTAAACAAGAATTAAAGTAATAAGGCACTACAACCCTCAATGTAACCAATACATTGAAATTAAAAGTTGTTGACCAGGTGGGCACAAGAGATTGCAGCAGGTGTTAGACGACTCCAGGAGGAAGAAAGAGAAATTTAAATTTAGACTGAAGCTACTGTGCATAGAGCAAAGCATACAATACTGGAGAACTGAAACCTGAAGGCACATAATTTTGTTTTCCTTTGCCTCCTGCACATACCAACCTCAAAGGTTTTTCTATACCTTCTGAAAAAACAGAAAAAAACCATTTAACCAGAAATGTCAGTCTTCAAATCCTTGTCCTCCTATCTCCACTACACACAGGTGCATGAGCACTGGAATACAGAATAAGAACCCACAATCACCCCCCCAAAAACTGAAATTGGCTCACATCCTGAAACATCAATTAAGGTTAGTTATATGGTAGTAGGGATTCACAAATCCACTTAACTGTAACCCAAGGACTGTGAAAACTTCAGTTAATTGAGTTATGGCTCAGCTGACTCCTTTCCCAACTAGGTCACGCTTGTGCAGACCAACTCCCTTCCCTTTCCTATCACAGCCTTTTCTGTAGTAATTACAGAAAATGTTTTCCTGAAATAGATGTTTTAGAAGAGGATTTAATCTGTTTTCTAGGCTTAGGCCAGGAAACAAAGACATTTGGTAGCATGTAACCCATTGTGCTCCAGGTGCCACCAGAAGATGCATTTGGGAGCTGCTACCCTGTCCTGCCTGGGCACAGCAAGGCAATAAAAGGCCCCAGCAGAGCCTCTCCTGCCCTGTGCTACCCTCCCATCATGACCAGGCTGTGCTGCAACCACAATCTCTTAGTCCATGCTTATTCTATTGTCCTAGAACCTCTAATACTGCACTGCTCACCACAACTGTCTACCAAGCTTGTCCTCTTCTCAGAAAAAGAGCTCGTTTTTGCAAAGTGACTTTCTTCAAATAAAGACAATTTAGTTCAACTGGAAGTATCCCTTAATCCTGACCTTTACTGATTGAGGGCTACTTCCTTTGAGAGTACATGAAACAACTAATAATTGCCTTTGAATATGCTCTGTAACAGCCCAGACCTTTCCTGGAAAATCTTTAGGCACCCATAATGGATTTTGAAGGCCACTGATTAAAAGTAATCACATTCCTATTTTACTTATAAAGTTGAAACCCAGTAAGCAAAATATTTAACAAAATATGGAATGCATGGTGTAGGCTGCTGGGATTCTCAGCTGATGCAAGCCCTACCCAGGCTGCACAGTGGGCACCATGGCATGGTTGCCCATATCTGCTCTCTCCTTCCTTTTTCAAAGACTAAAAGCATGGCTTAAGTACTTGTATTTCTTTTTTGTGCTTTCAGTACAGGCAGTCCCTAAGGAGACACTTTAGTCCAAGGATCTCATGGCAGCAGAGTCAGGTACACTGGAAGAAAAGTGGCTGCACTGTCAGCACCCAGAATGCATCACCTCCCACCAAGGGCAATGCTCTGCATTGAAAAAATTGCAACAAAAGCTCTTCCTGCAAATCAGTCAACTCGGAATAAGTTTTATTATTTTGGTATGCCAAGAAACAGGTTAAAGGTACTTCCACATTTTAAGAGTAAGGCAGGGATTCAAGAAACTACTGTAAAGGAAATGAAACACAATGTAAACGTTTGACTAACAGCTTCTCTTCTGGAATTAGAAACACCTACGGATGCTTTGGTTAACTAATTCCACGTTGTGCTTCACTTCAAAAGAAAGTTGCCCTTGAATCCCCCAAATTCAAGATTCTCTAAATAAGCAGTCATGTTGTGTCTGCATATTACAAACCCATAATTATATCTGAAGTCACACGCTTCAAAAGCTTTGCAATATTAAGAGTTTAGGTACAAACTAAGCTATCAGGAGTTAAAGTCATGAAATGGCCTACTTTTTTCAAGAAACAAGCTATTAGTTACTTAAACTCAAGCAAATGTAGTGAACTTGTTACCTTAATTTAGGAATAATCTGACACAGACTGACACACATTGACAACTGTCTTACATTCTTATAGCTCAAGGTCTTTGAGCTCAAGGACAGTGATTGTGAAAACATGAGGAGACCAGCACCATAATTCATCTTATTGTTACTGTATGCTTACTTTTTCCAGGATACCAAACTGAACCACTACCTAGTATCAAAGCAGTTCAGCTGTAGGCTGAAAATAGCAGCAGAGGAATTTATATTAGAACTGATGTATACCTGCTTTTCAAATAAAATACCAGTATAAGGTATAAAAAAAAAAACCTCTGGTCCTACTTAGTTTCATGTAAAACAGGAAGAAATTCACCTGCTTCTGTGTTTCTATGCCAATTTATAACCAGAAAAGCAAACCAAAGCTCACTATCTTGTAAGTAAGGGAGGATTTTTAAAACTCAAGACAGAGCTTGATGAAGTTATTCCAGAGTTGCAGAGCAATAACAATCAATCAGTGCCATGAGCTGCACTGCAGAGTGCAGTGCTGCATTAATTCCCTGGGTACGTGTGTATCACTGCTCATCTCCTGCATGTTCCTGCTGGATGCCTCTCACAGCACCAGAGCTAATCTTGAGGCAGTTCTACTGTAAATAGACTGGTTTTAAAACTGGGCTGGGAAAAAAAATACAATTCACATTTTACTAAAACTTATTCAGGTTCAAACAGCTTAATAAGTACAGACATAAAATCCATCTAAAGCTTAAGTTTCCTGCAGTCATCTCAGAAACTACTGCTCTCTGGGAGTGTAAAAGGCAGACTGTTAAACTGATCTGGGTGTTCCCATCTTGCTTCCTGCATTTTGGCTGACATCCTATTTTGCCATCACCACACTGCTTACTGAGTCACTTCGCTCCGTCCAACTGTAGCTTCTATTTTTATCTAAGCAACAACAGTTTAATGTGCTTCTTTTGATTTTTTGGCATTAAACCAGGTTCTAGAGCCAATATTTGCATTTTGATCAGGGAAACTGGTTTTGTTTTCCCTTAAGTGGACAAAGAAAAGGAATAAGAACAAATGGTATAAGCTAAATTGTTTCTTGCTCCACAATGAAATCACAAATTGTAAAGTAGGTCAATCATTACAATTTCAACATCTGTATTTAGTAGAAGGAAAGAAATACCTGAAAACATGAACTTTGAGGCTTATTTCAAATGTCAATTCACCAAAAGTTGCAAGAGAACATGTATATTGTAAAATACAACTGTCCCAATCTATCCTGACATAAGTGCTGAAATATCAGTGGAAAGCTATAAGACTATCAGTGCTGCAATGGTTAGCAGTTTAAAAATAAGCCAGTTGTGGAAGAAAACATTTTCTTTTGCTGATCCCTAAACTAAAGGTGCTGCTTTGTACCAACATGCTACAACTGGACAGGTCCTGAAAGCAAAGAGGACTTGGCTCAGCTAATGCCCTTAAGAGCACATCAATTTCTGTTTTCCTATATATTACCATTTCCTACATTGTGATTACATTAAATGTGACTACACAAAAAAACTGAAGTTATACTATAATGAAACAAAAATGCCTCTAAGGAACAGACCAAGTAATTTCTATTCATCTCTAGCTTTTTACATTTTTCCCTTGTTTAGCTGATGCTCTGCCTAAGCTAGATTGTGTTAGAACAAACTGCATGATACAATGCACCTATCTGAACAAAACAAAAATTTAAATCCCAACAATGCAAAGGAACTTTTGTCAGGGAATTCTGTCCATTTCTAAAATAAAATAATTGGGAGAAAATAGCTCTTTTAGAATTAGTGTGTGGTGCTGAGTATGGAATAGACACTTGGCTGTAACCAGAAGGGAATACAAGGCTTCTATCTGACCTTCACTCACCACCAATACAGTAATTTACCACCCTGGTAAATATGCTGATAGAAACTTTGCAGAATTATATTGAAAACAAATTACTGTTTTAAATTCTACCCTAGTCCTAGGGGGTAGCAAGGGCAATGTGGAGGTCAGACCTAGGCTAACTTCACAGGCACTGGCACCACAATGCAAAACCCATCCAAAAGCTCAGTTTGGGGAGCTGAAGGAGCCCTATGTCACCCCAGAACAGAAAGCAGAGCACACCTAAGCTTACAGAGTATGTAAGAAAATTTCTTCCTGAGGTGTTTTCTTGGCAAATAACTGAGCATTTTTTACACTAAAACACAGACTTTACAATACAAAATTTCTATGTATATAATTTTTTTCCACACTTCCCTCGCTGATATTGATGACTTTTATCAAGGCTTTCCCAGCCAAAGGAATTTTTGAGATGAGAATTATGACCACCTTCATTATGGTTGCTCATTAACTCAAGAAGGAGCTTAGCAGCACCTACATGGCTGAAGACACAAGGAGTGAAGGCTTTCATCAGCTTATTCTATTTCCTGTTAGCTGTAAATATCATTCTGCAGTGACTCTATAGCTGCTGCTTTCTTTTCAAATATGTCTTAACAATGAAAAAGCACAGCTATTTGACTAATCTTCACCTCTTCCTGAAGGTATATCATCCATGTGACAGTTGCAATTGAGTTTTGGGAAGTCTAACTCCCAAGCCAAGACATCCCTCCCATTAAACAGGTTGATGGCAGGTCTGCATTAAATTCCAGTTGTGATAGCATTTTTATTGTACATAAATAAAAGTGTGTGCCAGACATTTTATTTCAGGCCCTAAACATAATACAATACAGGACAACATAATTAAGTTTCAGTTTTAATTTGTTTAACAATCCAGCCTGACAAAAATTCAACTACTTGCAGACTTCTGTACTGTTTTATACAGAGATTGGTTTAGAGATGGAAAGCAGCAATTTTTGATAATAAATCACTTCCAGATGTTACTGGAAAATAACACAGACCTTTTAAAAAAATCCTGCAGTAGGTATTTCAGTGCCTATGAGAGCTGCCAGAGAATATAGCCCTCCGCTTAGAAGTCTAGATGTTTGCACCTTTTGCTGACCAGATTTTTGCTAAAGTGTCACTTGGTTTATTCCTCTGTAATGCATCTTCACAACAGACACAAGTATCTTTGGGCTCCGCATTTATAGGGATGAAATGTTATCCTTGCCAAATATACTAGTTTCTAAAATTTCCCTATTAGCACAAAAAAAAATTCTGTTTGGGGTATTTCACCTTAAAAATGTATTGTACTTAGAAACTTTGGCAATTTACTTTCAAGAGTTCTTGTGCATCTTTTTCTATTAATATAGATAAAATAACACTTCTTTTCTGAGAAGAAATATAAAGCTTTCAGCCTTCAAAAGGATTTTGAGCAAATGATTTGGAAGAATCATTTAGTGCCTGACAAAACTGCAATGGGAGCACAAATATCTCGCTGGCAAAGGCCATCTCTACTCCATGTGTGCATAGGTCCCACTCTGGTTTTTAACCACCACGCACGAGCTGGTGTTCTTCCTCCCTAAAACCATAGCAAGGAAAAAAACTGTTACATCATGTGCCCTTTGCTTCAGACCATAGTTGGACTTGTTGGAAAATAAACCAGAGAGAATTCGGAAAGTGCTGTGTGAGAGCACTGACTCACTTTTGGGTGGAATCTGCAGGCATGCCACAGCTGCTGGAGTCAGGGAAAGCCCCTGGTAAAAGTACCACATTGATATATGAGATCACACTTTATGGAAACCTTTCACTGAGCATTCAGCCTTCAACACACTATTGTTGCCTAGGCAAGAGAGGTTTTATAAGCACCAAAAGACTCAGCTTTCCACAGGCTCAGAAAACTTTCAACAACCAATACTCAAACACTCATCTTCACACTGCGGTAGCGTGCCAATGGGTCTGACCAATGGTTTTTGAAAACCATGCCTCTGACAAAGGTCTTGTTTGCTGAAAATCTCCTTAAAAGATACCTATCAGTATCTATTTTTAATATAGATTGCAATTTCTCAGTTTTATTGTGGTTATATAAACCCCAAATAAAAATAAACCAGAGAAGACTGTGGGACAGGGGTGGGCAGAAGTCTACATGTTTTTGGAAAAAACCTACCTAGTCCAATTTTTGGTGAGTCTACTTTATGAAAAGATCACTAAAGAAATAAAACCAGATGAACAACTCAGACCTCAGTATCATTTCTTCAGGGGCAAGAATTTTGATCATCTACATGTAGCACATTTTTTAAAAGTTTTGGTTTTGTTACTTATGTTACAAATTTGGTAAGAGTGTAAAATAGGTGCTATCAGCAACTCACCAGTGCAGCAATAAATCCTGCACCCATGCAAAAAGAAAACTCTCTCCCTCAAGGACAGATAATTTCAAATTTCAAATATTCTGTTGTCTTAGAGGAACCTGTAAAAACCATTAAGTTATGAATGAATGCCAGCACTATTACCTAGGTCAGCCACTGGACCTGATCCAGATAAATGAAGGTTAATTGGCTTTATTTTTAAATTCTAGAGAATATGACAGTCTGTGCAGTTTTCCATCGGGCTGAAAAGACCTCGCAGGCCAGGAATTAAAAATCTGCAACTGCTTGGGCAGTAATGAACTTTTAGTTCAATCCAAATCATCAGAATAGCCATTTTACATGTCTAGATATATTTCATCTAGATAGCTTGATGTATGCTGTTTTTCTTTCTCCTTGCTTTCACCCAATTTGACGAATTGACAGGATCTAGCCGAGTAACATTTATCTTGTTACAGATCAGACTGACTTTAGGTTAAAAAAAAAAAAAAAAAAATCAGACTAATGAAACTCTATAGCACCAGACCTTGGAAAGTACCTTTTTAAAAACTGGGCCCACTTGGACAGTGAAATTTCAAACAGCATACTTGTTTGCTTACAAAATGTAAGTGTCTGCTTTCCCTCTCCCCTTCATTCAACCATCCTTCCAGGCCTGCACTGCAACTTTGAAGGCGACCAGAAACATCCAGCCACGGGGCACCTCACAGAGCAAAACAAGCTCACGGCAATCCGAGATGCAAGACACTCGTACGAGTGCCAAAATGAACACTGCCGCAGCAAGAATAACAGCGGTGCATTCATCGTGTGTCTGTTCCAAACAATTGTGCCTTGAAGGGAAGCAGGAGCTCACAGCTGACTGCAGCGCTGCTGGCACGGCGCTATGGCCGCCACAGAGGACAGCGGGCTGGAGTGTCCCTGCACAGCCCTGACCCCGAGTCACCCGCCAGGCTGGCCTCGGCTCGGGTTCGCTGGCTGCACGTGTGTTTTGTAACACCCTGTACCGCCTCTTCTTGGAACGCTCTTTCCAGAGAACCGAGGGGACAGGGCTTGCCCCTCCACGGCCAATTCCAACCCAATCTCACCCGTGGCAGCAGCATCCTGCTCCTCGAGATAAAAACTCTCCGTTTACACAAGAGTAAAGGATCCCAGCCCTGCTAGCCTGCTCTCCAATCAGGTGACCCGCGAGTCAAGGGACAGAGCAATAAATTATTAGGAAAAACAAAACACTACACTAAAAATAGTGAACATGAGCAGTGCATGAAGAATAACAGTTTTTACCCAGCCAGAGCTCAAGGTCCTCCCCAGCTTCTTTTGTATCTGGGCAAAACAAATTGACATAAGCAATGACAGATAAATAAAACATTATTTAGTTCCTCCTTGATAATTCGCAGCTATATATTTAATTAAAAGTAAAGAGCATGGGAAAAAAACAAAAAGCTGAGTTTCGGACCAGCAGAAAAAGTATTAATACCCAAAATAAATATTCAATGCAACTCCAATCAGAAAATATCAAAATTACTTTCTTTCAGGTAAAATTGCTTCAAGATGAATTCAGCTCAGATATGCCAAAAGCTTCACTTCAGCTACTAACACAGTTCAGGCAACATTAAGGATTTGCCCACTTGTCAGGTTTAATAGATCTAATAAATTATTGTGAATACTCAAGTTAAGCATGAGGTAAAAAAACCAAAAGCCCTTCACAAACATTCCAGAATCCAAGTGCCTGATACCCATAATTTATTTTGTCAACCTTCCCATTAGCAAAAACATTATACAGAAATTTTCTACTAGAAATCAATAAAGAAAATAAATTTTGTCATTATCAAGGGACAACAATGCATAATTTTGTTGGAGGAAGAGGATTTTTTCCAAGAGATAGCAAAACAGCAAGCACAGAAGAGTAGTCAAAAAGACTAAGTTTCCATTTAGAAATATCTGATTACATTGGCTATTACTGTAAACAGCTGGGTTTTTGCAATCACTTATCTTCAAGAACTAATAAAAAACACATCAGAGATTTTTAGCACAGAACATTTTATTCTTACCATCTGAATTAGTGGCTGATCTTGAAAGGATCAGAATATGGCACGTGAACCCAGACAACAAACAACCTGCCCTCTTTATCCCCAGAAAAACTTGCAAACTGGGTTCACACTACACCCTCCTTGCTGGGCTGAATCCCTAGGAAACAGCATTAAGAGAATTGTTCTTAGCACGAGTTGGTTTTCCTCTCGAGTATGGAAAAATGCTTGTCTGAAATCCAAAGATTTTCCTCAGAGATAAATTCTTCACAGTCCCAGCTGGAAGCATGCCCTGCCAGTGGGAACCTCTGGGCTGGCACAGCCCACGTGAGTGCCACCAGAGCCTCAGTGAGCAGATGGCAGCGCCTTATCTGCCTGTCCAGGGAAGGGCCAGCGCTGCCTGCAGGATTCCTCAAGGAATTCCTGTGAGAAAGGCACTGACAAGGCTATGCCTCACCACCATCCAGCCGTGTAAGGTACCTCTGGGCGCTGCCTAACAGGAAACCACATTTTCCTGTTCTTTTTTGTCTCTTAAAACATCATCTTTCATAACAAAAAAAATACTTTTTTTTTCCTTCTGCTTTCAGATCCTCCACGGCTTACCACCGTTCCTATTGTCACCCACTCACTACTGCAGTAACCTGGTCTCTGATTACTTTAATCACCAGTCCTTACTCCCCCTGTTGTCCTACACTCTTGATTAAAATGACTCTGCTTTGCAGCTTCTCCATTACGGTGATAAAGGCTTGTTAGCCTGTGGGAGCACAGTTTATCTCTCTCCATCAGTATTATCCCTTTGTCTCCTCACAGCCCTCTATTGGAAGCCATTGATTTAGCGTTTGATACTTGCATAAGGTCTGAGGTGAGGACAGTCTTTTGTTCCATGCTTGTTTAATACCCAGCAAAACAGAACCAAGTGTGAATCTTAATTTGTATCACAAATAACAAATTATCATCTTCAGGCAATAACTCCATGAATTTGCTTCCCTCAAGTCCTCTAATGACTGAGTTACACACCTGGGGGATAAGGAAGTCCTTGCTCCATCTGACACAGCAACACAGAACAGTCAGGAAACACAGCCTGAGAATACAGAGGCTTGCTACACAACTACAAGAAGTACTTCCTTCACTTTGTAAAGAAGCCACAGCTGTGGTCAAGACCCACAAGCATATATGTACCTCACAAACACAGCAAAAGCTGAGGAAACTACATATTCTTAACAGCACTGATGAAACAGACTTACAACAGGTTGTTTATGCTGTTTGACAAGTGACCTGGTCTCAGTTTTATACACAGCTCTTGCTCATGACTTCCCAAATCAAACCCCACCCTCCAGTACTTCCAGCACCATGAAGTTTGGTCTATAACAATCCTTCAGATGCCCTACGCTAAAAAGAGATATTGACACTTCTGGTTTGAATTTAACTACAGTAGGTACAGGACCCGTAGAGTAAGCTCCTATAAAAATAAGAGAGCACTTGGGTGCTTCCAGCATCCTGCTCACACAGCCCAAGGCCAGCACCTCAGCTGCACGTGTGAGTCAGACGAGAAGCCACATCCACCCCACTGGCTACAGGCTCCTCCTCACCCACACCATGCCCAGGTCAAATGCAGGGAGCTTCTTACCCCTTGCTCCCTTTCCCTTTTGCAATGATATTCAAGTTGCATGAGGCAATTTTCATGTTCAGTTAAATGGAAAGGATTCAGAGAGATCTGCTCAGATTATAAACTTTTGCATTCAAACTAATGTTTTAACTACCAGGCATTTTATAGTATACAGTACTTTAGGTCTTTTAGAAAGATGTTATAGGAACTAGAATACGCAAGGCCTCTAGGAATTCATATCCACTTTCTCTTAGTTTACCTTTCCTCCTTCTCCAGCTGGTTTGCTTTGCCTTTTAAAATTTATTTTAAAGTCATAAAACCAACAAGTTATCTGGAGTTTCATAAACTTTACTAAAACTGGAGAGTAAAACGTGTTAGTTGCCATGGCATTAGTGAGGAGTTGCTGGGTCAGGATGCAGAGAACTTCTCTTGTTCTGTCTCATAATTTGCATCAGAAGTTCAGCCATCTGTTATTAACTATTCAACAACAGTCTTGCTTGTTAGCACTGGTGCTTGCTATTTAAGTCTCCCCACCTTCAGGCCTTTTGAAAATCTCCCAATTAATGTGGAAATTCATCAGAAGGCTCAGTTATCTTTCAGGTAGGATGATCACCATTACTTCAACTTGGTCAGTATTGTCCTTTCTCACCAAGCAAAAAGCAAACACTTATGCAGACACCAACACCAACCTCTAGAAGCATCAGCTTTATTGTTAGCCATCAATTTGAAAAGAATTTAATCAGACAGTAGATGATGTGGCTGAACTCCAAGACAGGCTGTATCCCTCCCATTTAAGTACACCCCACTGTATATTATCTTCCCCAAGTTCCACAGCATCCCTCAAGTCTTCTTTATCCCACCTTCTTGATATTGCAAACGAAAAGTTTTGTAATTTTATTTCAGAGGATGAATAGCATCGATTCAGCCAGGTGTTGCTAACAAGTAAATACTGCCTTTTATCCTCTGAGAGAATCTGAAATGTTTGTCTACTTTCTGCATACATGAAGAAAACAAAAACTTAATTATCCATTTCCAAGCTTAGAACTTTGGAGTTAAAAGCATTTTACCTTATCTTGACTCCACTATCTTCATTTAAATCTGCATGACCTAAAGAAAAATACTGACTCTGAGTCTCATCCTAGGAAAGTAGGCTGGTCTTGTTGCTCCTCACTCTTCACACCCTCAGAAGAGAGTGGGAGGCTGTATAGTGGCAAAAGAGAACAATGCATCTGTTTCTTTTACTGTTCCTAAAACCACTGCAACCAAAAAAAAAACCAAAACAAAACAAAAAAAACACCCCAAAATTATCAGTACTATAGCACTATTAGGGGCAAGAAAGAGGCCTTCCACAGGAAGTCTTTGTTTCAGTCATTTAACACCCTAACATATGCTAAGAGCACTCTGTTCACAGGTACAGCCAGCACAACTCAGATCCTCCAAAACGATCAAGAGGAAGAAAATTTTGAACAATACTTATGTGGAATATGGAAAGAGTTGCAGGGCATCAGAAGACTAATTCACACATCCCAATAACAAGACAGTATTTTCCAGGCTGGTCTGTCTCTCATGCTGACAAGCAGACCTGCAGTCCCTTACACGCACTAGCAATGTCAGTGCAGCAGAACACGGCTCAGAGACAGCACAGGCTGAGATGCCTTCTTAGACTGGAAAGATGAGGGATTTGGTAGATACAACCACAAATGCATAGGATAGATCTGATACAATGCTAGGGTTTAGAGACCCAGAACAAGAACCCAGTGTCATTTCTTCTTGTTCCAAAGAGAATGATGCAACTGAACAGTCTAGAAGTGCCTGAAAAGGTTTTCCTTTCAGCATGTTCAGGAAAATTCTCCATTACAGATATTTGACTTCACATGTGAAGGCTTGGAGAAATACATCCAGGGCAGCTTTCTGACTATCAGACCATATCAACTTGAGAGGCTTGGTTCAAGTCCAACAAGTATGTGAACACTGATGGCATAACTAACCTCCAAATAAATACAGTCAAGGGGAAGAACTGTTAAGAACATCTTCTGCCTACATGCAAGGCACCTACTAATGCCACTGAGCAGCAATTTTTTCCCCCAAAAATAACTAAAAATCAAGAAAATGAGAAACAAACCTAAGAGTGCAAATGCACTGACAATAATAAAGCTTTTAAAGAGCATTCACAGGGAGAAGAGATAGAAGCACTCAAGAATTCAATAATTTTATTTTAATGGACAAGACATTAAACATTATAGTATGCAGGTTAAGTAGGAGCTGATATTCCTATAACTTTATTACAACATCATGTCACAGTTAGAAATCATACCTACCAGCTGAAAACTTCTGCAGTGCTGCTGCTAGAACAGAACTAGCTATCAGGGTAATTAAAAAAGCACACAGGAAAAAAAGCAGAGGACCTGTTAGGAAGTGTCCTCAGGTGAGGAATGTAGATTAAGAATTCCATTATTTTATCTGAAATACAGAAAAAGACAAAACAAAAAGCCCAGAGCAAGCTATTTTCATAACATCTGACCTCTTCTACTGCAGTTTCTTATTGCATTCGTCTTCTCTTTGTGCTACTTGATCTCCCAAAACTTTGATGTTACAAACCATTCACTGTCATCTAAGTGGTGGGTAATTTATCTTGTGGAACTTTGTCAGAACACGTTTGACCACCCAAAATGCTCCTCCTAGCTAGCAAGGCTACCTCCAGCTTCAGCAGGTTTCAGTATTTGCAGTCCAAATTATTCAGAGGGTGGGGTGGAGGGAGAGGCATAAGGCTAGCAGACCAAAGGCAGAGACTATACCTCTTCCTGAGAAATGCAAGGAGCTCTGAGAGATGAAACTGATGATGGTGGAGCAGCATGGAGCTCCTCAGGTCATTTTTCCAGTGCTATTAACCTTCACCTACAAGGCCTGCCCTTAAATGGTTAAACAGTAACCTGCAAAAGTAAAAAAGTTACAAAAGAGACAATATATGCTTCCCATCTAAAAAAAAAAATCTGGGAGCGTGGCCAGGCCCATAAAATTGGTTTTAAACTTTATTTGGGAGGATAAATGAGGACATTACAACTCTCAAGCCGTGTAAAAGACTGCACACTTTAAAATGGACACCAGAGCCTACTATGGAATTTTGAATGCACAAAACAAAAGAATATTTTTGATGGTTTTAGAATTGAACTGTGTCACACAGCACAATTCAGCTATTTACAAGTTTCCACACTGTAAGTCATGTTATTAAAGCTGTAATAGTCTTCTGGTACTCCAAATAATAAAACATTACATAGAGTCAAAACTGAAAGGCTTAACAGAATTTCAGCCAAGAATCTAGTCTGCCTCCTTCTTCCCTAATATATGGTAATTTTCCACATAGCAAAATGGTAGACTCACATACTTTAAATTTAATCTACGCAATTATGAAATTTCACTTTGTCCTCTCAAAAATTCCTTACTACTTTACAAAGCAATGCTTCAGTGATTCAAAGCCAATATTCCCACACAAAACACAAGAGTACACTAGTGGAATGATTCCTCCTGCCTGCCAGGAGGTGGGCATCCAGTGTTAGCAAGCTCACTTAAATTACAGCTCTTCTACTTTTCAGAGGAATATCAACAAGCTTTAGACACAGGATAGATATATATATACTTATATATGTGCAAGTACTTGGTCAGAGCCACATTCACATTTTTAGAGAAGTTGGCATAAAAAGCAATGGATAATCCTCAATTCTGCTATGAGTTCAGTATAATATTAATTAGCTTTTTATACCATATAGTTGAGCAACCAGTAAGATGCTAATTAAAAATACATCTTTTTATTGCCCCCAAAGCTGATATATTTGCATCAGCTTCATTTGTCCCAAGACAAACAAGTAGTGGCAAAGGGCTGATAATGTTTCATGCATTGTTTCTAGCAGAAATCAAAATACTGTAATAGTTTCCTCCTGCTGGAGGAAAAAAAAAAAAAGAGGAGAGAGAAACTTGACCTACATAACAAGGCACAGAAGAAACTCAGTTAAGCTTCAGGGTGTTTAGGGTGTTTTTGGGAGGGGGAAGAGGTTGGTTTTTTTCTCAGAAAAATGAGGAGTCAAACAGTTACATATGGCTACACTAACTACAACTGTTAGCGCATTTGACACTTTAACTACACGTCTCACTTCTAAGGCTTAAAAATCCTCCCCTCCTGTTCCAGGACATTTAATACTCTTGCCCTAACAACGTAATGAATTAACCGAGTTAATTTTTAGGCTGTCCATTACTTTCCTTTAAGGTAACGTTAAAAAAGGAAAAAGAAAAGCCAACCCCCAACTCACAGAAATTAAGCCTTTCACAGGCTCAGTACACGGAAGAAAAGGAAGAACGTCTGGTTTGGGTTTCTAAAGGAGCTGTTTACAGACTCTACCGGAGAGGCAAACTTTGGTGCAGCTCAGTATAGGTGGATGCCAAATCACCTTTCTCAGACAAACACCGCCAACAACTGCCGAGTACTCGGAGTTACACAGCTGGAACTTGTTTCACGCCCGGGCAGCCTTGTCGGGTTCGGTGCCACCGGCCTTCCAGCCTCCCCCCGCCGCTCCGCCCGGCCCCCTCCGCGGCGCCCCCGGGCCGAGCCGAGCCGGGCCGGGCCGGGCCGGGCCGTACACACCTTCTCCGCGCGGCCCGGCGCTCCCGCAGCGAGCCCCGCAGCGCCGGCGCGGGTGGGTGGGTGCCCACGGCATCCTCCACAAAGGAGGCAGAGTAGGGGCGCGCATAGCAACAGGGCCGGGCGCCCATTGGCCCCGCCGGGCGAGCGCCGGCCCCCTCGGCACGGCACGGCCCGGCCCCCGCGACCGCGCCAGGTGAGCGGGGCGGGCCCGCGAACCGCCGGCACCGGGGCGGCGCTGCCGAACCACAGCCGCCGGCACCGGGACCGGCACCGGGCTGAGCGGAACCGCCGAGAGCGCCGAGCCCCGAGCGCCGTCCCGGAGCCCTCTCGGAGGGGATGTCAAGGGACGGCAGGAGCCGCTCCCCTGCTCCAGGGCGCGCTGGCACCGCGCTCCCCGCACCGGGAAACGACCCCAGTTGGAGCAGGGCCGTGCGTCTGTCTGTGCGCTGGCACCGCACACGGAATGTTCCCGCACAGCACCGCTCCGAACGCTCAGCCCGAGCTGCAGGCTGTGAGGTGATGAATATTTACATCTGGAAGTGGAAAAATCCGCCAGCCCGTCCTCCTGCCAGCCAGCACCAGCCAACTTCCCACTGCTCTTTTTCCACTGCTCAGCCACTCGGGAGCGGCTGGGCTCCCTCATTCCTCCGACCCTCCTGGAGCACACGGGGGGAGCAGGACCTCGCACCAGCTCTCCTTGCACTACTTACTACTTCAGTATTGTTTCCAAGTAGTTCTTACCTCAGTATTTGTAATGGCTTCTGAGGACTAATTTACGAGGTTGTTTCAAGAGAGTAGTCTCAAAACAGCATGTACTATTCTAGATGTAGTCTAAACAACGAACTGGCTACGTTAAACAACTTCACCCAGTTCTGACGTATTTACAAGTATTAAAGTCAGATGACAGTCACCATATTAACATAATCAGTGCAAAAAACCTATCTCACTCTCAGCCTAACCACATCACAAAGCAAGACTAAAATCCTTGTTCTATAATTAGATACCACGAAACGATGAAAAGTATGGATCAAACTAGACTACACAACCACATTCAAAATGCAGTACCACTCACTAACCCATTCAAGAGCATGGAAAACATGCCACTTCACAAAATTACTTTTCCCCACTCATATTTTATATACCAGTATCATTTAGCTGTGGTTGCAAGAAAACACAATCTATACAAGATTTTAAAGTAGACATTTTATCAGAGGAAGGTCAGATACCTTTTAGTAGTTGGCCCATTTAGAGATCTCACATACAGATAGTGCCTTACAGAGAATTAGATGCAAAACATACCATTTCATTAGTCACTGACATACAAGCTTCCTGTATATTTTACCTGTTTGCTTTCCAAGTATTTTTCCTTCATGGAACATTTACGTCTACAAAAACACCATCGTTTACACAGTTGTCTGAAAAAGCAATTTCAAGTTTTCTTAATCAAGCAGCTACCTAGCATTTGAGGAAAGTACTCAGATGATTTTCTATGAAGTAGTTATTCAGTATCTAGAGGAGGAATGGGGGTATAAGAGGAATATTTATCACATAACTGAATATGGTATGTTTAGAAGTTTTGCTAACAAGGGGTAGGAGCAACAACACCCAAGCCAACTCCCAGCAGGGCCAGCAGAGACAGCATTCAGGAGCCACCAGCTGTTTTTACAGGCCAACTAACAATGTTTTAGTGATGAGCAGCTGTTTCTAGATGATGGGCATACCTACCCACCATACTGCTCTTGAACAGTCTCCCTCCCCACACTGGGCTTCTGCAGTGCAACTGCAAAGATCCTTTTCACATCAGATATTCTTCAAATACAGTAAAAGTAGGACAGCTTGTTGACACTCCAGCTTATAAGCTTACAGTCCTAAACCAGCTGTAGGTACACACAGCTGAGCCCTGTGCCTGTTTGTGGATGAGCATCCCAGAAGTAAAGGCATCCAGCCTAATAACATGCTAAATTTATAAACTGCAATATTACAAATTCTACCAAAACAAAACCTACCTTAAAGCACATTACTCGTTTATTGGATCTCTAATGCTCCCACAAATTCCAGAGTCACAAGATACTTGACATGAGAAGAGAGTAGCACACAGAGGTATACACAGGACTTTATCCTAGGCTGCATCCTTCATCATCATAAAGTACCTGCACTTCAAATACTATTACTATCCTCACAGTTCTAACACTGTGCAAAATGACAAGCAATAATCAAGATAACCAGACTGTATTTTAACCCAACTTCTGCCACAAATAGAATAACACTTGTAAAAATAAAAAGGTGAGGTCTTCAGAACAATGGATTTTATCCCAACACTTTGGGAGTAAGCAGTCCTACACATTCCATAAAGCAGGAAGTCAGAGCCAAGTATGGTTCATCTCAATATCAACCGAATTACACATCAATTCAGAGGCACTTGCCAATAGACATAATTGGCATCATCCCTACAATATAAAAAACACTCAACTTCAACCTTTGAAGGGCCATGCCAAAGCACAGGATGTCTAGTAATGAGCCAGTTCAGAAAAACACTGTAGTTCAGATTCCAGCCCTGCCTGTGCAGGAAAAGCACGGTGGGCATGTGACCCCTAAGGAGCAAAGCCTGACTCCACAGCACCTTATATTTACACAGCCTAGTCATGGAAACAAGCTAAAAATAAAAATACACTTCTACTAACACATCCCCTCCTTGTAACAAACATTTTGGATTGAGTTACTAATTTGCAGAACACAAAACCACCAAGTGCTCTCATGTATACAGCCTTATTCCCCTTCTCCCAGTACAGATGCTCGATTCCTCAGAACAAAGCTGAGGTCAGTTCTTGATGCTTGCAATGCATGTTAAAATAGATGGTTAGATATACCACTCACACTCTGTGTATAGTTTTCCTTTTACTGATGTTCAAACTCAAATTTCTTGAGTGAGAAAGGCTACATACAGTCTTCAGTACACCAGAAGTTGAAAACATCAGATGCTAACAGTCCCACAAGGATCAGATGCTAACAGTCCCACTATGATTTTTAAATAACAAAGTCAACAAATATTTTTAAATAAACAAACAAAAATTAAAACCAAATAAAATAAAAATCAGTGTGTAACGAAGCTGCTCAAATTTTATACTAGAAACTTACACAAGAATGAATTTCATCAGCTTACAAAAAGCATCCTAAAACATTTATAAAAGGCCACTACATCTTCTCAACATGAAGATGGGATGAAAGAACAATCAATGCACATCAAGCACCGTAATTTTACCTCTAGTAGATCCAAAATACTTTCTCATAGAAAGTTGTTAGTTCAGCGAGGCTCTCACAGGAAACATCCAAAGGCAGCACAACAACTAAGTTTAGTGAACTTAACTGCTTGCTGCAAGATGAGCCAGGCATGCATTCTAGCAGTTTTACACTGAATTTGCCTTCAGACATTGCCACTATTACCAACTATTCCTCCTGTTTCACCTGCATGACCCAGCTATTTAGTTCTACTCCTCCACCTTTTACCAGCAGACTCTCCAGAGGGGTCCTCCACACCTTGTTTGCATTAGCAGGGTGGAGGCAGCTACACTGTGAGTACAGCTCTGGTAGCAACCATCAGCCAGGCCCATCCTCCAATTCTAGCTCTCCAGATACTTTGTTTCTCATGGTTTCCCCACCGTAAACAAAATTCGTCTGGCGATTCAAATAGCATGTGCTTCAAAAGGAAGAAGCTGTTTCCCCCTCAAATTAAAACAAAGCAAAGTAATATTTTTTTCACTAAAAGACAACTGAAATGTGAAAATTTGCATAGAAAGTATACCTGAAGCTCAATTTTAAAGACATTTAAAGCAAAGAAAATAAGGTTTACCTTTGAGCAGCATGAGTGTTGATATCAATCCCTTTGACCTAACTGCATTCCCAGTCCATGCTGATCTTCAATTTTGTCCCTGTTCAGTTCCTATTGGTAGGAAACTCCTCTTTTATTCCACATGACTCTAATATTTACTGAAGTTCTTCCTTTCCTTATGCAACTATTTTCTTCCCCCTACCCTCAAATTTACCTACTTAATCAAAATTTAAAGAATAAAGAACAATAGAAGTCTTGAAGATCCAAGAGTTTTAAAGATTCAGATCTAACACGCAAAGGAAATGCACCAGTACTTGTGACTTTACAGAAAACTGCACATTAAAGAAAGCATCAGTCCAACATACCAAAACTTTACTCTGTTAACACAGAGTTATGGCAAGCAGCCACCACAGACATTTACTCAGATACTGCTCTTACACACCCTTTCTGCCCCCCAAGTCTAAAAACAAAGCCTTCCACCAGACTTGCTGACCTGCCTGGAAGCGAGTTTGAGCCATGGTTTGTTTCACTTGCGTTGCTGGGCTGGTGCCCTGGCAGGGAATCAAGGAGAACAATACCTGGCAGGGGAGAAGAGCTTCCCATTGCTCTGGAAAAAAAATGTGCTAACCACAGCAGCTCTTCCTGCACCTCTCCTTCTCCTTCCCTTGTCTCTCAGAAGAAACCAGCTGCCACTCTTACCACCTCCCATTGTGGTTCTGACTGTACTGAGGATATGGGATAATACTTGAATCTTCAATTCTACTGAAGTTCTCTCACTTTTTGCCCTTCCTGCCCCCATTATACAAAACAAGATGATACTTGCACAGCATCCTGAGAAAGAACTTGATTTGTTGCAGTACAGAGAAGTGTGAAATATGTCCTAGAAATCCTGAAGGCTCATCAGAGAGCAAAAGGAATCCCTGCATACACAGCAAGCACTATTAAGAGGTTAAACTACCACAAGCAGTCACCTGCTCATAGACTCCC